GGGATGAATAGCATTTTTCTTGTAAAAATGGTAGACAGATAGAGGCTTAATCTCTCTCTGGCCTTTTTTTTCCCCTATATATATATATATATATATATATAACTTAATTCACCAATATTTTACTACAACTAAAAGTCCAAATTGAGGCCCAATTAACTCCAATGCCCAATTAATTTAATGATTGCTTCCAAGTTCTCAATTCTTTCATCTAATGCAAGTTGGTCCTTGTACATTAGAATTTTGTCATTTTTCGCTATCTTTTGCTTCATTTCTTCACTTCCTTTTCCATTCAAAAAGTTTTACCTATTAAACATAAAATACAATAATTTAGAATATATTTTATCAAAAAGACTATCAAATGTTGTTATTTTAGGTCCTGAATAAATGTAAAAATTACACTTATCAATTGGGCATCAATAATGCAAATTGGATTGAGTCAATCAAACCAAACAACTCCTTATTGAGTTCGAGCTTGGGCTAGGTTCTAATCTACTAACCCATCTTGATCCATTTCCACTTAGCCTCTATTTGACACACATTCTTTCAAAATTCATTTTCAACAATACATTTTTCAATAAAATAATATTTTAAATCACATCCATAACTTTTTCTTATTTTTTAACCACATATTTTCTATCACATCACTATTTAAAATACATTATTCCCTCAGTAATCTTCATCAAACATCCTATATGTATATTCATCTAAATCCTAGTCAAATGGTCATCGGACTTTTTTTGGAATTGTAACCTTTGTACCTTAATGATGTGTTTCGGTGTGCAAGTGATGCATAGGTGAACGGAGAAGTTGTTATTGTTCGCTTGATCAGATAAAATTTGAGGTTAATAGGTGTCTTTACTGTATCCATAATTTGGACAAATTTTGAGTTCAAACAAGCGTCTTTACTGTATCTACAATTTACTTTTAAATCAATTTCCACATGTGCACCAATCCTTTTAGTTATTCCTTTCTTACTTCTAGGAAGTTTTGCATGTATTGTAATTAGTCTTTTCCCTACTATTTTGTCATCTATTAAAGTCCAGATTGTAAACGACGTAAAGTGTGAAGGTCAAACATTAAGTCTTACGAGTCTGGACGTACCTAAACGAAGCTAAACGTAATAACTAATAAGTAACAAATCACACAATTCACTTCAGATAATACTGGACAGACATGTATGGTTGGTAAATCTAAATGTATCGTGTACATTATCTATCCTACTTTACACTTTTCCACATATCACATTATCTACGCAAAAGACCCTCTTAAAACGCTATCAAGATAACAAATCAATGAGAAAAGTGGTGATAAAATGGAAGAAAGGTAAAGAATATTTATTAGGTGCTTGCACCACCAACTATTTATCTCCATGGCCCCATCACTTTTATATTATATTCATGACTTTGAGTCCACTGAAAGAGTGGCTATCTAAACCCACGTGGATGACTCATTTATTTTGGTTTGATTCACAACTCATTCACATGACTTCGATCCTAAGCATTGCTCTTCTCGGATCCCAATATATTCCCTACTTTTTCTTGGACCTACAATTTTGTTCTTTGCATAATTTTGCGTTTCTAGCAATCTTCCTCGAACTTCTCTCCCTCCTTTTAATCATTTGTTATTTTTCTTATACATGTGCTGATCGTGTTGGATGGAAGGATCGCGTTGTTTAAAACGTAATGTCGATGATGTCGATTGATTCTCATAAAGATATGTTTGATCTTGGGGTGTTGTTTAATTTGTTGACTTTGACGAGAAAGGAAGCATTAAATTTAGTAGTACAATGAGTATATTAATACTCCCTCCGTCCCAATTATATAGGTTGAGTTTCCTTTTTCTCTTATCCCAAATATATAGGCTTGTTTCCTAATGTAAAATATTTTGTTGTGTTCTTTTGCATTAAACTAAATGAACATAATACTTTACATATGAGTTGACTGACCACTCACATTGCATGTGGTTCCCGACCTAAATTAAATAATGTCAACCTTCCCATGTGTGTGTTGTGTCATCCCATATGTCAAATATTTCATTTGTGTAGCAAAATTCTGTTCTTTTACTAATATATTCTTATTAAATTTTCCCTACTTAATATGCAAACTTCTTGAAAATTCAAATTCTTTATTAATTCCAACAATAATTTAGTTTCACACTGAAAATTAAATAGGGGTAAACTAGGAAAGATCTTGACAAACATTAATTTTTCAATGACATTAAATAAGCTTTNCTTAAAGTTGATAATATATGGTAAAAAAATGTATTGCTTATTAGAGTCTCACATTGGCCGGTGATATTTACACGATCCACTTAATAAGGTAAGGGCAATCCTCCCCTAACAAGTCGGTTTTGTTAGGTTGAGTTAGACCCAATATCCTTTCTAATATTATGTGTATGTAAGTCATTGTATACATATAGTACAACCGTAAATATTAATACACACGATCTTGTTAAAACTTAAGTTGAGACTGAGTAAAGGCGAAGTTCATTCTTTTACATTCATGAAGTTCATGCGATAGGCAAATTGGTCACACCATCCAAATATACGTTCATGCAACTAAGAGATTATAAAAAGGGTGTCAGCTAAGACAACTATTTTTATCAATAATCTTAATCCATTGTCGACCTATACGTGCTTCTTGTTATCAATCCAATGTATCGAAATCTAAAAATGCGTCGTATTACATGTCTACGGATCTGTTTAATAGGGCTTTTGAAAAATCAAAAAATGTTTTTTAAATATATTGGGATAGTTTTTTTTTTAAATTTCTTTATTTGACTATAAGAATTTTTATAGGAAGCCAACATAAGGTTGTTTTCTGAAAAAGATCTTTATGTAGTAGAAACGAATGTAGAAATTTTGCCAAATGGACCCAACATGTCAAGTATTTGAAAACCGTGCCATGTATCACTAGCCAAGGTGACCAAAGCGACAATTTAGCGTGGCTGGCATGATTGGCGATTTTGGGTGCATGTGAGTTAATAGGATAAAGAGTCACGGGGCTGCAACAGTGGGAATGAACATGGTTGCTGATTGAAATTAAAAATTGCCGCTATTTACTACCTAAAGGGTTTGCCGGTTGGTAAATATGTACCACCGTTGAATCACTTCAATATTAATACCAAATTAATGTAGATGTGATCACCGGTGAACACCATAGTTGAGCCCGGGGACCAACATCGATGTTCTCGAGAATGTTACAATTCGTCGACTAACTAGATAGACAAAGGGTCCGATTGACAGGACTTGTGAATATCAAAATTTTCTTCTAAGATTAAGAGATTATTTTTAAATATATTTAAGAGCTTTTAGAGAAAGTTGACACGTAGCTTTCTCACGAAAGTTTTCTACAAGAAGCAGAAGTCCTATCAAACGTGTTCAAAGATAGGTCAATAACGATGTTTGCATAGAGGATCACAATCAAACTCGAGAGAGTACGAAAATTACGAAATTCATCAACATTAATCAAGGAATTATACAAGAAAATAAAATCTTCTTTTAGAAAAGAACAGATATATCAAAAAAGATAGAAAATTAATGACGAAAATCATCATTTTGCTCTGTTTTTTGCCACCCTACTACTAAGGAGCAAATACTTATTCAAACAGGAAAAAATTAATTACAAATATGTTTCAAGAATCCAAGCCTTTGATATTCCAAATCATACTCCAAGTAAATATTCTGCTGCTGATAATTACCCAAAATTATTGATGGCCCTACTAAAATCCCCTGACTGTTGCCATTATTTGAGACTATAGTCATGCAAATCACTGAATCATCAAGAAATGAAAAATAATCTGCAATGGGTAACTCCATTTTTGCACCCCCTTTGAATCCGAAAATTAATTTAGGCAAATTGATTGTTTCTTCACCTGAAACCTTGAAGCATGGTCTTAATCCAGACTCTTTTTCGATATCTGCAGCTCTGGGATAATGTTTCCCCACTTGTTTTTCAAATTCTTGGGCAACTAATTCATACACTTGATTCTCCATGAAGGTGAAAGTGGTGCCGGAATCCACTATAGTGCCGCCGTGTCCATCAGATCCCGGCACCAGGAACTTATATGGGACTTTGACGCGGATTCCACCGACAGTGATTTTTCGAAGTGTTACATAGTAATAGTCTTGAAATGCTGAATTTGAAGCCACTGGATTCTTGCGGAATGGGGTGTACTTGATTGTAGCATTACCATTGGTGGCGGCGGCGGCGCCGCTGATTAGAACCAGTTCGCTACTTACCGGCGTGTCGTCGAACCGGTGAGAAACTAGGCAGTATGCGAATTTCTTCAGGCCCATTTGGGCTGGCAGTGACTCCGGCCCACGACCAAATCCTGCAATGCCCGAAGGCTGCCGGGATGAGAATACGGAGCAGCCGACCATGAAATTATCCACAGATGTTTTGGGGAAAACTAGAGTTTCCGACAATAATAGCCCACCGGTTGATCCAGAACCGTACTGAATTATATACGGTGGACAAGTTTCAGTACAACTGGTGGAATTTTTGTCACATTGTTTACATTCAAGATTGGGGTAAACCAATCCACATTTCGAGTTTTGACAGCCCAAAATCTTCGCAGAAGATGACGATTTTGGTATAAACCTTGATATATTCATAGAATTTATGTTAGGAAAATTGCAGGAACTGCATTTGTACCTGTGTGTGCATGGGAACCAGACTAGGCTACTACCCGTGTCCATGACAAAGGACATAGTCTGCGGCGGAGTTCCGAAGCTGAGAGAGACAGAGTAGCCGCCGTAGCTCCGGGGAAATAGGGGTGTTTTGGTGACTGAAACGTTGGTTTTTGGGTGTTTGAGGTGGTGGGCTCTTGTTAGAGATGCAATTGCGAGTTGGTTGAGCTTCTGCCATGGGTTGTTGAGTGGTGGCGCTACGGCAGAGGAGAGGGATAGGGTGATTTTATGGGCCGAGGAAAAAATGAGGAGAAGAGAAAAAAGGGAGAAACTTACTAAAAGGCGATGCATTGAGAATTTGGTAATGGAAATTCAGTGTGTGGAGATGAGAAGACAAGGATAATTTATCAAAGTCTAGATTTCAAATCTTTTCCCTTTTTCTTTTTTATATTGCAACTTTTGGCTGATTCTTATAGAAGAAACTTTAGGGAGACACTAACGGTTAGCTTTATCAAGAATCATATTCGATTGGAGAAAAGAAAATTGCAAGGACATAACAGTCCCTAGATTTTTGAAAACTTGGATCCTTAACCTTGAAGAATGAGCTAGTCCTTGACTTTTATTATATTTGTATAATATATCCGTGCAACGAGTTTGTTTAAATGATTGTTTAAAACGAACCCTTAATATTAGAACATGTTTGACTAAATTTAAAATCCAATTAAAANCATGTTTGACTAAGTTTAAAATCCAATTAAAATTGAAAATATAATAGTTATTGAGTCTCACTTGTCTAATAAAAGTCAACAATAACGACTAATTTTTCAATTTTAATTCGATTTTAATCTCTACCGAACACGTCCCTAGGAGTCGAGAAGAGTTAGCATATTTTTCTCAAAACTATTGAAAGTAATAAACCTCTTGCAGAAAATATTATTGTAAATAATTAATCCTTTTAAACGTATCATCAATTTGTATTATTATTATTTTTCGTTTATTTTATATATATTGTTATAATAATAAACAAATGTTTATTTCCTTTCATTTTCTTATTAGCCGTTAAAATGTTAGAAAAATGTTGCATTGGATCCCACCATTAGATATTGCCGTTGGTTAATTGATTGAATTATGCATAGCAAAGCCAATTTCGAATGTCCAAGAAATAATTGTAAACTGCGACTTTTACACAAGTTGCCGTGACATATAAGAAAACCATTATCCCGCTAAAAATTAGATTTTTTTTTTAGATTTATATAAAAATTAATAAAATATATAATTGAAAATTTGTGAATTTCATTAAAGGTAATGATTAAAATTAATTATCGACTGTATAAATTTGACATAATATATTTGTTCCAGCCCCCATTTGATAAAATAGCAAAAGATAGGGGACTTCAACGGAAAAAGATAGTCAAATTCTTATGGGCAACTCCAACCCTTGCAACCAAACACAATTTTTCCCTATTTTGCACCAAATATTTGGTGCAATGTCACTCCAAAGTCCAAACCAACACCAAATTTTGCACCAATTTGCACTATATTTGATTAAAGTCCCATTTGCCCTTTTTTTTCATTTAGCACCAAATGTGTTAAGGGTATTCATGTCATTTTATATTATAGATACATTTTAATTCTTAATTAATTAATTAATTATTATTATTATTATTATTTGTAATAAAATTTAATCATGTAATCAATATTAATCGAGGAATGAATTAAAAGTATTAAAAAAGTTTAAAAATTCAACAAACATGATTATTTAAAATTAAAAAGAAGACGAAAATCAAGATTTTCAAGAATTCCTTACTCTTCATAGACAAATAAAAGATAAAGATGTTCACATTGCACTTCGAAATGTATTAATTGAACATTCGTGGGATGAATATACGAATTTCGATAATTAAATTACAACACTAGTTCGACTCGTCATATCATAATATTGGGATCTATATGTATTACGTTGTTTTTTAATAACACGATTTAATATTTTCTTAGTTGTGGTACTTTTATTAATTGTACTACATTTTTTAAATTTATTAACAACTTTAATATTTTCGTTAACGATTAAATACAGTTCATTTGGTGCAACTTTTGATGTAATTGGTTGAAGATGATTTTTAATTTGATGCAAAACTTACCCTGTAGGCATGGCCTCGAGTCTTTTTGTCAAAAGGGTCTACCAACGTACCATCATGACATAACAATTGCGGTCTTTTTGTCAAAAGTATCTTTGAGTTTCTTACGAGTAAGGCTATCTTTGAGCTTCACTTTTTTGGGAAAAAAAAATGATTTTATGATAGTATTTTTTTAATGCAGGATCAAAAAATAAAAAATAAATTTTAAAATTTACGTGTAAAATTATTCTATTAAGAGAATATGATTAAAAATGAGTAGTAGAAAAAAAAAAGAATTGGGCTCAAATAGGGACCAAGTCTTCTTGTAATTAAGGAAGCATTATTTATTCTTCTAACCGACTAAGATGCCACTATGGCGAAAGAATATTTCTAGTTGTATATAATTTGGGTTACATAAGAGTATGCACCTCCTCACATAGGGGTGTGATCCACTTAAAAAATATCCCTCACATAGGGGTGTGAAGGGGTGGACACCCTTATGTATTTTTTCTTTAAGTGGGTCACACCCCTATGTGAAGGGGTGGATACTCTTATGTAACTCAAATTATGTACCACCAGTAATGCCCACGGCGAAATTGATAGATACGCCATGGATAGATTCCTTATTGATCATAGATTATTTACCAACTTGCCATCATTATTCTTTCGACTTTTATCCACCTATCATCCATTCCTTATTCGTATAAGCTATATATTATGAGTTCAAGACAAAGCATTACGGTGAAATTGATAGACATGCCATGGATCTATGACCAGCTAGAGTCAAGCTCAGTACTGAGAACTCTACACTTGCACTAAGAAACGTCGAGTGAGAACGAGGAAAAATGTTGAGGAATCTAATGCTACGCAGCAGGATTTTGAATGCTTGACGCATTCAACCTATGTTTGATTTAGCTAAAAATCAAATTTTTGGTTGATGAAATATATTGTAGAAAAATTAATTAAAGTAGGAGCTTAGTATAACAAAGGTGTGCAAAGCAACATCCAAAACTCAACAAGCAGCCTTAAAAACATTTTCTTACAACCTCTCCCACTGACAAGTAACAATACCATTGTGGTCTCAGTTCAATCTTTACCTATATAGCAGCAAAGTATTCCTTGTTGAGCTTGGGATCTGGTCTGGCTCATAGACTTCTCCCCAGGCTGGCAATACTTTTGTTAAGAAATATAGGGTTATTTTATTTTATTGTTTATTAAGGGTAGAATAGTCTTTTCAGTTTCCTTTGTTTCGCCTATATATTAGTCTCTTTGTTTCTATGTTCAATGATCCTTTTTATATTCAATTACATTATCATTATGCATAATTCATGAAACCCTAGACTTCTCTTCTTTTTCTTTATTTTTTTGGATTGTTTAACAACTTCATCAGGGTTCTCCCGAACATATTGCAAGGCCTGCAGAAGCAGCGTGCGCCATAAATAAGAACTCGTTGAACTTTCTAAAATGCATAGAAGTAAACAAACTAGGGGTGCCGAGTTATTTAGGTAAGGGACATGCCATTGACCAAGCTGACATTATAGTACCACCCTCATGAAAATATGTTGCTACAACATTTTTCCGTGAGCTTCAATCACGTTTTGCCAAACGGTATCATGGGCTTCGAGGGACCAAGTCTAGACGCTTGTCTTGTTCGTTATAGTGAATATAGTGTGTTACCTAGAGAGTTCTTAATGTTTCATCAACACTTTGGCCAATCGCAAATTGTTGATGGTCTTGAAACAGCAAGACGACTGCATAAGAAGATTACTGGTAGTAGTGTTTTTATTGATTAATACACCCTTTAAAGTTCAAGAAAAAGCAACTCGAGTAGCCCCAAGTAACAAATGCCGACAAATTATTCGGTTGTATTTTAAAAGATTGGAGCATAAAATGTTAGTTATTTGCAATGATTGAGGAATTGTTTGAGCAGAAGTAAAGAAATGAGAGAAAAACAGAGGACCAAACATAGATACAGAGTTTATTTCAAACTTCAACAACCTCAAGATCAAAAGAGAGTTGAATAATACATCAAGGTCTGTTCTTTAGAAGCCCTTTATTCGACACATTAGAAAGTGTTAGTGGTATGTGCAGCAGAGTTAAGATTCCAAGGAAAATAAGTTGTCAAGCAAAATCAAAGAACCCACTGAGCTATTAGCCAGAACAGTTATACAAGTCACTGCAAATGATATTAACTTCATATAGAATATAACCATAAGCACAAACAAAAATCATTTAATTTTAAAACAGGGTTTTTGAAAATGTAATAAAATAAGTTGATAGATAGAAAGCACAAAATTTCTAAATGTTTATACTGCGTTTTTCAGTAGATTACCTTTAAAAATTCTTGATCATAAACAGCCTCTGCCTTCAAAGTAAGGAGCTGGATTTCCAACCAGTGGAACTTCGCTTTTATAGAGGAAAATGAAAGTTCTGCAATCATGAACAGAAAATAAAGACAATAGACATGCACTGTTCAGTTAATCAGGAAAAAATAAAGACAATAGACAATTGACATTTCTCGAACACCTCTAACAGGGGGACAAATAGTCATTTTTGAAAAAAAATTGTTGTCAACTTCTTTCAGATATGAATCATCTGATTCAGAAGGGAAGAACTTGCATCAGTATCTCAATTTCGATTCAAAAAACGGAGTCTTTGTCTAAGGAAATGCATTGAGAATCTAACTCAGAACTCCAGCTAGAATATCGTCTCAACCTCGACATCTATGAGAGTTGCATATTGAACATGTAATATTTTCCAGACAACAAACATGGATAGTATAGATTCTTTTGCCAAAGGATTAAATATTCAATTCTATAATACAATATATAGAATTCATATCAAGAGCCAACATTCGCAGTGAAATTACTTGTATTGCTTTGATCTCTCTTTGAATTCTTGCTCTGGTATATCTGGTTTCGGAAGAGAATTAGGAAATAAAAATAATTGTTGAAGATAGCACGACCTTTGGTTATCGAGTCTTTGATTAATTGGAAACTTTCTCGTGTTTGATAACTCTGACACGAGTATGCGAGTTTTAAATATATCGAGATTGATTTCATATTTTTGAAGTTAGGTTCAATCTTGTTTCCTTTACTTGACTTTCTAGTTGAGATTGTTCAATTGGGGGTTATAATTAGCTCAACTCAATATAGTCGAGTATGCTCGAAAACATGAACAATATCTTATATTTCATGAGAGAAAGAAAATTGTATATTAAACAAAAAATCTGCCATATTATTGTTCACTTTCTTAAAATTTTTCTGTTATTGGATTGCAATTAAATGCAAGTGAACAATAAAAATTAGACCAACAAAATAATTGTCAACCAAAGAGACAATTTATTAAAAGCAGTGTTCTAAAAATTATAAAGTGTGGCGAAGCATGGAAGCCACAGTTCAACCCGGATGTAAAAAGCATTTTTCTTATTTTAATATTGTTTTAAATTTTAAAATCAATCTAAACATTATTTAATAATTAAAGAAAAAAAAAATGTATAAAAAATAATGTGCCCAATTGCGAATAAATTTTTTTTTTAAAAGCACAAAAACATGTGAGGCGAGACATTTTGAGCCCGCTTCTCGGATAGGCTTCGTTTTGTAGAATATTAACTAGGAAGAGAGAAATGATTTTGAAATAAAATTTTTTGATGTAACATTTTTGTAATCTTGATTGAGGGCGTGTTCGTTAGTGATTAAAATTGAAAAATTAGTTTTTATTGTTGACTTTTATTAGACGAATAGGAGCCAATAACGACTATATTTTCAATTTTAATTGGATTTTAAACTTAACCAAGCATGCTCTGAATATCGTTGTTAAGAAGTGGCCTATTGAAAAAAAAAATGCAAGAGATACGCAAATTTAAAACTTTAAATGAAAACAAAAATCAACAGCTGGAGTAGCTCAGTTGGTTAGAGCGTGTGGCTGTTAACCACAAGGTCGAAGGTTCAAGCCCTTCCTCTAGCGTTTTATTCTTCATTTTCTTAATCTTAAGCTTACTTTTAAAATCTTAAACAAAACAAATTTGTAGTCATTTTTAATCTTAAACTAACATTTTAATATCTTATTAGGCACTTTTGATCTTAAAAGTTTCTACATCACAAGGACAGCCTTGAAACTGTAAAATAAATAAAACTACTTTTAAGAAAAGTTGTATTTGTTCAAAAATAAATAAATAAATAAATAATCAATGAACTTCTAAAAAAAATATAGTTTTGCTATGTGTACTGAACACACACATACAGAAATGCAACGGAACACACACGTACATGTGAGGCCCATTATTTATTTATTTGCAATATTTATTTCACATGGCCCCCATGTGAGTATCTGTTGCATTTCTGTGCGGGGGATTTTCTGCACGGATGCAATTTCTCAAAAAAATATTGTGGGATTTTGAGCTAGCCCCATCTCGAAATGACTTTAAGTCACTTTCAACATGGATAACACTCTACCTTAGTTAATAATTAAATAGCATTTTCAAGGACCAAAAAAAAAAAAAAGGTTGGCAATCACATCCCAACAAAAATGTAAAGAACCTGCATAAAGTTTGCAGAGTGAGTCTCGATTTTGTCACCTTAAGGAATCATGAAGGATTATTCCCAAACGATGCACGATTTGATCAAAGATAAAGGCAAGGTTGTGATATTAAAGATTCACCTTGATAGCTATTATAATTATCTCAAAATGGTCCTTCAAGGAAAAAAAAAAAAAAAAAGGGTTGGCAATCACATCCCAACAAAAATTTGTTTGATGTAAATTTTTTTTTTTAAAATAACAAATAAATAATAGATATATATAACGAGTCTACTTTCAAAGTTATTTTATCGAAATAATGTGTGAATGAAGCTAAATTTGTGTGAAAATAAATTTTAAATAATCTGTAGCAAACTTAGTGACTTGTTTTTTTAAAAACTATAGTAAATTAGTAATTTGAATACAGCCTAACATCCCTTTGTGTTAGTTGGTCCCATTATCCAAATAGTTTATATAGTTAATTAAACAACAAAAGAAAAAGCGAAGGAATCTTAAAAAGACATGTCTTCCATGATTACAGAAATAATAAAACTTTTTAGCATCTTATTAATTGAAAATTAAATTTAAAAATTTAAAAATCATTCAGATTAATCAGATTTTTGGTTCTTGAATCGAATCGAAATTGATCGGCTCTGGATTTTCATACACATAATATAATAGAACTTTAGTAGAATCGGCCAAACCTACTAGTTTCAGTACGGTCCTATTTTAATCCGATATTTCTATATTAATCAAATGTAATCCATAGGGCAAAAATAAACCGTTTAAAAGGGATTAATAATGTTTCTTTTTTATTTATAAAAATTAATACTTGATTGGATAAATTCTTATGAGGATCCCAACCTTTCCACTTGTGTCACTCCAAGTCCTTAACCTTTTATTTGATCAATCCCATATCCCAACATTTTAAAATTGCGCGTGCAATATCCCTGATAGAAGTCCACAGTCCACTTAAATGTTAAAAGGACATGAAGTAGGCATGTAATAATGACTTTGAGGACTTTCCTAGCACGTATAAACAAAAGAAGAAGATTATGTTAAATAGTATTTGAAGTGGATGAAAAATTATTTTTGAACAATTTGATCCATCGGTCATGTATCACCTGCCTAATGTGTGTCCTTTTATCATCTAAGTTGTTGGGTATTTTACTCGTAAACTTGAAATCAATGACAAAAATAAAAGCAAGCAACCATAAAGCAGTAAAAACAACACAAGAAAATGTTCACCTAATTCGGCTAAGCTTAATCTGGGGAGCTCAAAGGTAAGCCAATCATTAATGCAAAAAACCTTCAAGAGAGGGTATACGATCAGAGATTAAATAAAATCAAAACCAGATTTGGTTATCAATCTAAAGAGATCATGCAAACAACCAACCCCATCAAACCTTGTCTACAAGAACCTCTCAAACAACTATGTGCAGATTTACCACCCAATAATCAGGCCTAAAACACTGAACACAGGTTTTACCACTGGTTAATAACACAATAGGATTACAGATCGAAGAAGATGAATCCAGACGCTAAAGAGAAAAGGCGGAAGAATGGAATGAATCAAATTCATAACCCTTCAAACTCCAAATGGTTGAGTGGTTAACTCTCAACCATTGGATCCAATCAACGATCCAGATCATCCTCAAAATAGCACAATCCTAGTGAATACAGTCCAACCAATAAGGGGATGCCAAATGTCCATCAACCCAAGCAGTTAAGGAGAAAAATGTTTTTTCACTCATAGGGTTATGTTTTGAGAAACACGAGTTTACATAAATATATTTTTTCATCGGATTGGGACATCATGTGCATAATTTTAAAAGGTTGGGAATATCGATTGACATAAATGAAAAGGTTGTAGGCCAGAGAGAAATTTGCCTGCTTAGTTTACAAATTACTAAATTCAGTTTCTATATTTGGAATTAGCAATAGAATCTTCCAAGGCACAGTCGCAGCCTGCATTTTGTGACTCTTTCTCTTGCTATTGCCCGGAGAAAAACACACATTCCCCACGCGGTTTCAGTTGAATTCTCCGACTAATCAACGGCATTTCCCCCCACGCCCACCCTTTTCCCTATCTTCCTCTTCTCTCTCTAAAACTAACAAACAATTCCCTCTCTCTCTCTCTCTCTCTATCTAGAAATCAGTAATCATATTTTTCTCGTAACACGAAGAAAAACCATAAAAACGACAAAAACAAGATCAAAATCCAAAAAATCTAGGGTTTCAAATTCCCTCTCCAGCTCTCCCTCCACTTTTATTCATACAATTTTTTTTCCTTTTCCACAATCTCCATTTTGTTTTATTTCCCCTTCAGATCGCATCTTAGCAGCCGGAAAAGCACCGCGACGAGTAAACATTTTCCCGTTAAAAATTAACCTCTGGTTTTCAGCTGTGTTTTCACCCCTCCAAGCTTCGAGGTAAACAAATATACATGCACACGTTCTTATATGTTTATTGTATATGTTTTTCTATGCGAGGATTTGAGTTTTTTTTTTGTAGGAAGCCTGTTGGGGAAAATATATTGATCTGAATGTATCGACTATTTATCCGGGTTGAGGAAAGGGGGAGATTTAAACATATTCTGGGGGAAATTTGTTAATATACATTGAGGGAGGTCAGGGGATTTGTTTGGTTGGAAAAATCTTTAATTTGTTGCGGGAAAATTCATTATTGGGGTTGAAACTTAATTGAGTTGTTTGAGATTTGATTGGACATTCTTTGGCTATGAAGTCTGAGAATTCATCTCCGTCAACCAGTCTGGTCAAATGTTGCGATTGTGGGTTTAGCTGTTCAATGATGAACAGGTCATTTTCAGGGACCTATCTTCGTTCTGTAAAGCGTAAATATGATGAGTTTGAGGAAGAAAGCCGGTTCACAATCCCAAGACTGGTTTTACAACAAAATGCCCGTGTGGAGATAGGAAATGAATGTGCGGCATTGCGTGAGACAGTCAGCAGCCAACAGCAGACCATTCAGGATCTCATTTTAGAGCTTGAGGAGGAGAGGAATGCATCGTCCTCAGCTGCCAATGAGGCCATGTCAATGATACTGAGGTTGCAGAGGGAGAAGGCAGAGGTTCAGATGGAGGCGAGGCAGTTTAAGAGATATGTGGAGGGGAAAATGGCACATGATCAGCAGGAGATGTTAGCGTTGGAAGATTTGTTGTATAAGAGGGAGCAGACCATTCAGTCTTTAACTTGTGAGGTGCAGGCCTATAAGCATAGGATGATGAGTTATGGACTCACAGAGGCTGAGGCTGAAGGAGAGAAGGATATGAGCCGAAGCAATAGCATGAATGAAAACCTCGAGGGGCAATCTGAACTCCCTCCTTACGAGATATATCCTCCTCTCAAGTGCAATTTGAATGAACCCCAAACATATCCAGACGGCGAAGATGAACCTGCTGACATAGAGAAATTTGCATTTGGTGAAACTCCACGGTCGAGGGATCACTTGAAGGATTTAGAGGACCGGATCAATCAATTGGAGAGAACTCCTAAGACCATTGAGCCTGAAGGGGAATTTAAAAATGCATTTGAAAAGGTGATAGTCGGTCAATCTCCAAGGTGGCCTCGGCATCTTAGGAAGTTCTCAACTGATAGTTCAAATTCGTATATTATGATGGGTAAAGAAACTGGGGCAGAATTTTCCACTGATTCTCCAAAGTTTTGTGGCAGTTTTAAGAAGACAGTAAATACGCAGATGGAAGAGAACTCTAATTTGAGAAAGGTCGATAATGCATCAGAAGTTGGAGATGATGTGAGTGACAGAGTTTACACAATCGATTCTATTCATAAGGGAGCTTTATATAATGGTGTCACAGATTCTAAGTCTTCTGTTGGAATAGGCGACGACTATATAACGACCCCAAGAGAGTCGCTAAATCATTCTGATGTTAGAGATCTGGAGGTCCAGAAGCTGTACGCTAGGCTTCATGCTCTTGAAGCTGACAGAGAATCAATGAGACAGGCAATTATTTCTGTTGGAACCGACAAAGCACAGATGGTGTTGTTGAAGGAGATTGCTCAGAATTTGTGCAAAGAAATGTCACCAGCAAGAAGGATGCCTGAGCGGAAGCCATCAGTAATCGGGAGTTTTTCGTCAATATTCAAGGTAATTCATGGCTGGTACTACATTTATATCTAAATTGACCTATTTGGGTGGTGGTGGTGTTAATTTTTTGTCCTTTTTTGAAACATTTTCGTCTGTTTTATTTGTCGTCACTCTGCATTTCTAGTATCTTGGCTCCTGTTACCTTTTGTAGTGGTAAGTTTAGCAATCTGTTGACAGAGGCGATGGACTTTTTCTTGGGCTTATACCCTCTCTTTCGTGTTCCTTTTGGATTAGTTTTTCGCCTTTGGTCGATCATAATTTTATAGTTTTCATTTGCCTTATCATGGTTTTTAACAGCTTCTAACCTATCTAATTCTGATTTATCCTTTTGGAGCTAATTTTAGAGTGTCATAATCATTATTTGCAATTTGATTTTGCTTAGTTCAGACATAAAAATTCCTCTATTTCTTCTCAGAAGTTGATCTAAATATAGAACTGAAAGCGAAGTCTTCCAGATTAATTTCTTTTCGAACGCTTTCATCTTTGATTCTTTTGGAATTTTCTTGTGATATTCCAATTTTCTAATTTCATCTCGAAAGGCGCAGCATCGAAAAAGCTATTTGCTCATTAGATTGTATGAAACATTTCTGTGAATTTAGCTACATTTTTCTATAAACGAATTAACCATCAAATTTGTTTTGTTTAATAACTGCTAACTATTTATTTCTCATGTTCATGTTCAGTGGGTTGCAACTTTTGTTTTATGGAAAAGAAAAGCTCGCAAATGCAGGTGTGTATATCTTTTGTGAACTTTCTAACAGATTAGTTGCTGAATACTGTATCTTTACAGATTGTTGCTTTACTACTTCATGCTAATTTTACAAGGTTCATTACCATAGTGTCCATTGTACCGCTTTCGAGCTGTTTATATTTGGTCATGTTTTATGTATGTGGCTTCTGCCCACTGGTCTTTTAATCGAGTTCACAGCAGTTTTATGGTTTAGGACTTGATTCCTAATTTCTGATAAAAGATCTGCCAATGTTATTACCTGAAAAAAAAAAGTCAACATCATCTAGCTTTTCACATTACCTTCATGAAATCTTACTCATGTATATTGGCTTTTTATAGCACAACTCTATCCTCTCTTCAATGTGCGTTGGGCTACATTAAAGATCCTACTCTAAATTAGATGTAGGCTTGTTATGAAGAAACTAGAAATTTCGTGGCCCATATGCAAGTCTGGATTAATATCAGTTTCTTGACTAGGGAGAGGAAAGAAGAAATGAACCAAGAGGGCTAAATCCATAATGTCTATACAATTCTACCGTTCTTCAGAAAGTAGGCAAAAAATTGTAGATGATTCAGTGGAAGCCGTTTGTAGATTGGGAAAGTTCAGATTGGAGTTTCACCCTATGCTTATTACATTTTTGTTTATCGTTTTAGGTACATGTTCGGATTATCAGCCAACAATGCTGGCTTACTAATGCTCTTAGATAGAGGACCTCGTGTGGGGAAGCGGAGACGTCTTTCAAATTCACAATTGTGATCTCCGTATCTTGATAAAGAAAATAAGGAGAAATTTGTGCATTTTTTAGAACACTGATAAATAGAGAGTTGGGTAATTGTGCTCAGTTATTGAAATGAAGAGCGAATGAGACTGATTATTGGACATTTGTGATCAATAAATAACATTTGATCTAAAAATGTGTGATTTTTTATTAAATTTTATAATTGTGACCTAAAATTCGAGTCTTTGTGATCAATAAATAAATTGTAATAAATTAATAGTATGATAACATGTGCACGTAAAAATAAGTTGTGATCAATTAATTTGATATTTTGATGAAAAAATAGCTTGTGGCCTATTAATTTGATAATTTGTGACCATAAAATAAGTAGTAATATATAAAAATTGTGATTGTAACTAGTACGTACTTGTGACCATAAATTATATAATAATGTTGTCGTAAAATACTTAACTAATAAAATATTTTATTTATTTATTTAATTTCACATTGTTTTTGGAAAGAATATGTAATCAATTCCTTGATTTAAGGGAGAATATTTTTAAATATCTTCATTATCTAATATATATATATATATTAGATAATGAAGATATTTAAAAATATTCTCCCTTAAATCAAGGAATTGATTACATATTCTTTCCAAAAACAATGTGAAATTAAATAAATAAATAAAATATTTTATTAGTTAAGTATTTTACGACAACATTATTATATAATTTATGGTCACAAGTACGTANAAGTTTTTTTAATTTTGAAATTGTATCTTGATACTATCTTATATAAGTATTTTTTTTTCCATATTTTATCTTTAATACTTTATTTACTAGTAACTAGTGTTCGTAATCATGATTTTCACTCAAAATACTGTTAATGTACATTGCAATGAGAAACAAATATTTAGACTTATTTTCTAATTATATAATTTTTTGCTTTTTTTCAAAATATAAATGGCAATTAAGTGTTTGTTTGGTAGAGATTTTTGGGCGAAAAATTGATTTTGAATAGTGATATGATGAGAAATGTGTGGTTGAAAAATAAAAAAAAATTATTGATGTGACAAAAAATATTATTTTATTGAAGAATGTGTGATTGAAAATGAGAATTGATTTTGAGAATCAGAAACAAACAACCCTTAAATCTTTTTACTCGATCGTATCAATTTTTTTTTTTTTGGACCGAAATCCTTGTGTCCATTTGAAAATAAAAATTTAATGAAAAAATTAGGGACATAATATAATTATAATTAAAATTTATGAATATTAGGGTTTTCTCGGCATCCCTAAATTCATTTTTCTTGTCTTCTTCAGCATTCAAGATCTTCCATGGCAACGATTCTCAATACCGTAATATCTCATTTTCCCATCTCAAAACCGTCTCTTTGTTTCCAGTTCAACAACCGCAACAACAACCGCGTCTCTCTCCCATCAAAACTCTCATTTAAATATATTAATATTACTATTCGAACCCATAAGAATCCATCCTCCATAAAATGTTCAATTTTAGATAAGACGATTGAGGGCTTACGTGCCTCTGGAAGAAGGCATGATGCTGGCCAGCTAATTTACGAGACAGACACAAGCCCTGAACTTCTACACTTGATTCACGACTATCATAGTTCCATGAATGAAGTACCAGGGAAAAAGGACGACAATGTATTATCCAAGCTTCGAAAACTAATCTCGAGCCACTTGAGTGAAGAACGTTACCAAGATGCTCTTGAGGTAAATTAAAGTGTTCAATATAAATTGAGACTTAGGGTTCTCTATAATTTGCTTTATGACATTTTTCTGATTCTACTTTCGGGTAGAGGTGTCAAGACGAACGGACCTGTCAAACCTGTGAAAATCGGTCCGGATCAACCCAGGACCGCGGGCTGACCCTTGACCCGAGTGAGCGGTTCACGGGTCAAAGACGTGTGACCCGCGGGTTGTGATAAGTGTAATTTTTACACTTATTTGGGACCTAAAATAACTACATTTGTTAGTTCTTTTGACAAAATATATTCTAAATTTTTGTATTTTAATTTATATAGGTAAAACTCAATGGTTGGACGAGGAATGGAAAGAAAGAAGCGAAAAATGGTGAAAAT